GTGAGCTAAACGCAGACGTCCAGCACAGGCTGCCTCGCTAAGCATTACTCAGCTCACAACCAAACATGCCCACAGAGACGGGACAGGTCACTGGGGTTGCACTGAGAGCGAGCCCTTCAGGTGAGAACATCGATGTCGTGGGCTCACAGATGTCACGGCCCTGCATCAAAGGGGCGTAAGAGGCTGGGCTGACGCTTCTCCACTAAAGACGGCGTAAGCTCAGAGCAGGGCTGCGGTGGACGCACACAGGGAGGACGTGGACCCGCGAGAGGCCCGGCTGGCTCACATCACCAGTGAAGCCCACTTCCTCCCTAATAAAGCTGTCGGGGCACACCGGAAGCTGTATCCACGATGCCCCGGAGGCTGGAGGTCAGGCGGAGCACCCGTGACGTCTGTAATCTAGGTTCTCTCCTTGCTGGCAATGTGTCCACGTGACTAAGGCTAAACAGTGCTGTCCCGAGGTGGCCCTCGGACGCGCTCCTAGAGGGGGTTTTTCTCCATCACATTCACCCTCGTCAGCAGTTGCAGTCTTCACTGCGGCTTGGAAGACAGCAACACAGGGCCACTCACCACAGAGGACAGTGACCTCAGGACAGGACAGGATCCCACAGAGGACAGTGACCTCAGGGCAGGATACCACAGAGGACAGTGGCCTCAGGGCAGGATACCACAGAGGACAGTGGCCTCAGGACAGGACACCACACAGAGCAGTGACCTCAGGACAGGACAGGAACCTCAGGACAGGGCAGGACACCACAGAGGACATGGCCTCAGGACAGGACACCACACAGAGCAGTGATCTCAGGACAGGACAGGACACCAGAGGGCAGTGATGTCAGAGCAGAGCATGCTGGGCACACACCCTGCCCGGGCTTCTGCGCCCCGTTCCCCGCAGGCTGTGGGGATCACAGTGTGTTGTCTCAGCTGCCCGCCTCCTCCACCGCCAGCGCCCCAGCGGCCCCCACCAGCCCCCACACACGGGGATGCACTCTCGGCATCACCGAGGCACCAGCAGGCAGTGGCCGCACAGGGCCACACACTGCGTTTTGCTAAATGACAAAGAACAGACACCCGACACCACCATCACCCAGCGCCCAGCCCCAGTGCTTACCTGGCCCAGGGCCTCCTGCAGCGTCACCTGCAGGGACTCAGGGGGCAGAGCGGGGACGCTGAGCGAGGCCTCCGAGAGAGGGGGTGCCGAGCGGGTGAGGGACGGTTCCATCTCCTCAATCAGGGGGTCGCTGCGCCGTCCGTCCGCCGTGTCTCCCTCCGAGGCCCCAGCATCCACTTGGGGGCCTGTGTCCAGGCGCAGAAGGGCGATCTGGGAGTGGACGGGCAGAGAGGCCAGCTGCTGGGGCTCAGACTTCGGGGCGCCGGGAGCGGCCGCGGGGGCCTCACTCGAGTCTTTTTTCCCTCGACTAGTCGTGAAGTGCTTGGTGAGGGCGGCCCAGAGCCCATCAATCCACGGCTCAACCACCAGCTCCAGACTGCAAGTCAGAACAGGGCCCATGTTCCACCAAACACCACAGAGGACACAGCCCAGTCCCCACAGCCCAGTCCTCACATCCACATCCACAATCACAGAGGACACAGCCCAGTCCCCATGTCCCCAACCAGAGAGGACACAGTCCCAGTTCCCACAGCCCAGTCCTCATGTCCACATCCACAACCACAGAGGACACAGCCCAGTCCCCACTTCCCCAACCAGAGGACACAGCCCAGTCCCCACGTCCCCAACCAGAGGACACAGACCCAGTCCCCACGTCCCCAACCACAGAGGACACAGCCAAGTCCCCACGTCCCCAACCAGAGGACACAGACCGGTCCCCACATCCCCAACCACAGAGGACACAGCCCAGTCCCCATGTCCCAAATCCCCGTTCTCATGTCTCCAACCACAGAGGACACAGCCCCCTGGTGCCCACGTCCTCTCCACAGCAGCAGGGCGCTCTCTCTGAGGACAAACCTCCCACCTCTAACGTGAGCACAGCTGAACCCGTGAGTGGATTCAGGGAACAAGCAGAGGAAAAGCTGGGCGAAGAGGCACACGGTCAGTCCAAGGCCGGGCACCTTTCTAATTCCACCACCAGCGCAGATGGGGGAGAAAGGAATATACTCAAATAGAGGAAAAACCACCAAAACCGTTCATGGTGGCCGATCCCTGTCCTAAGGTGAAAAAGTTACACCGCACTAACCCGACTTCCCAGGAGGTGGGGGTGGTGTCCCCGGGCAGTGTTCTCGCTGCTTACCCCACACAATCGTCAGCGTGGCCTGTGTCGTAGAAACGGCGGGCGCCCAGCTCCTGCAGTCGCCGGTCGAGGATCTTCCCCCCATTACAGAAGTACATGTACTCGGTGTTGCCCAGACCTAGGGAACGGAACGGTCAGGGCACGCTCACCTGTCACCGACACAGACGAGCCCCCAAAGAAGACATCTGAGCAATTCCCCCGGCAGTATACGGTGGTGTTGCTGCTTTAGGTGCCGTCGAGTTGCCAGCTACCCACAGTGACCCTACGTACAGCAGCTCTGAACCCTTCCCTGTCCTGAGCCAGTCTCGCTAATTCTGACACACCAACCTTCATCGCCCCAGTTACTGTATCAATTCATCTCATCCAGGGTCTCTCTCTCCTGTGCTGTCTGTCCACCCTTGTGAGCATGATGTCCTTCTCCAAGGACCGGTCTCTCCTGGCCACGTGCCCAAAGTATGTGAGATGGAGCTTCAAAATCCTAGCCTCCAAGGAGAGACCTGGTTTCACCCTCTCCAAGATAGAGCGATTTGTTCTCTTGGCAGTCCATGCTATGTTCAAGACTCTTCTCCAGCACCAGAACTCAAAGGCATCGGTTGTTCTCCTGTCATCCTTAATCACTGTCCAGCTCTCTAATACACAGTAAGTAACTTCGAAGGCCATGGCCTGGGTCAGGCGCACCTTAGTCTCTAGACTGACATCATTGCTCCTCAGCACTCCGGAGAGGTCCCTGACAGCAGATTTTCCAAACGCAATTTGTCTTTTGATTTCCTAAGTGCTCGTGTTAAGAGTATTGATTGTGGAGTTGAGTAAGCTGAAGCTGTTAACAAACTCAATCTCTTCTCCATCCAACATGGTGCTGACAACTGGCCCAGGGTGAGAATCTTTGTCTTCTTGATGTAAACTTCAATCCATTTTGACAACTACAGTCCTTGACCTCCTGCAACAGGCGCTCCAGGTCCTCCTCAGTATGTGTTCATTCTCATAAATACAGCAATTAGAAAATGAAAGAAAACACAGATGTCGCTTGTTGTTTTTATGTACCATCAACTATGACTCGTAGCGACCCTATGACAAGTAGCTCTGAACCCTGCCCTGAGCCAGTCTCTATAGTCCGACACACTTCTCCCCATTACCACAGTAACGATGTCATCCGGGGTCTTCCTCTTCTGCACTCACCCTCCATCCATCCAAGCATGTCCTTTTCCAAGGACGTGTCCCTCCTGGCTGTGGGTCCACAGTATGTGAGACAGAGCTTCAAGGTACTTGCCTCCAAGGAGCAGCTTGGTTTCACCCTCTCTAGGCCAGATCTGTTTGTTCCCTTGGCCGTCCACGGCATGTTCAGTACTCTGCTCCAGCACCACAACTCAAAGGCATCAGATCTTCTTCTGTCATCTTCAGTCCCTGGCCAGCTCTCAGATGCCCAGCAAGGAATCACAAAGACCATGGCAGGGATCAAGCACACCTCAGTCCCTGGACAGGCTTTCCTGTCCTTTAGCATTCTAGAGACCCCCCTATGGGTTAAACATATTGCGGCTGCCACTGAGAAGAACAGGAATTCCAGAACACACCTGATTGTGCTCACGTGAAACCCACACTTAGACCAGAAAGCTGTCATATGAACAGAGCAAGGAAACAGGAGTGCATCAGGGATGCATCCATCTATCCTGCTTCCACACCTTTTCTGCTACATGCAGAACAGATCACCTGGGAGGCTGGGCTTTATGAGGAGAAACGTGGCATCAGGATTGGAGGAAGACTCATCAACCACCTGCATTATGCAGATGACACGACCTTACTTGCCAAAACTAAGAAAGACGCAAAGCACTTGTTGCAGAAGGTCAGGGACTGTAGTCTTCAATATGGACTGAAGCTCAACGTCAAGAAGACAGATTCTATCCTATCCCTAAGGGGCAGTTCTACTCTGTCCTGCAGGGCATCGATTAGTTGGATTGACTCAATGGTGATGGGTTTTGTTTTAGTTTTTGTTTCCCTTCAAGTTTTAACAAAATATATTTTATTTCTTCATCAGTTACATTCTTAAGTGAAACTGGCATTATATATATCTTTTTTTTAACTGTTAAGTTTTTCATGTACAGCTTGGCTTCCACCTTGATACAAACTAAAAATAAAGCCATTTTAGTCAATGTTTTTGCAACAAAAGTGCAAATGGCAACATAATAGAAACTGTATGGGTCAACATAATAAAAAGTATAACAATAAAAAAAAAATTAAAATAAAAAAGAAGACAGATTCTCACCACCAGGCCAATTAGGAGCATCACGATAGATGAAGAAGAAATTGAGTTTGTTAACAGGTTCACCTTGGTTGGATTTACAATCAGCACCCCTGGCACCAGCAGTCAGGAAAACATAAAGGTAAGGCTTCGAAAAGCTTACCTACATAATCCTGATTACCACCCCTTATTCCAGCAAATCCACTCTTGGCAGAGCCTGCACTTTGCTCACACAGTGTGTCTACGTTCAGCTTCCAAGGAGTCCACACCCCCGGGAACGCTACGAACTCTGACACATGTCGACAGTCATTGAAAGGCGTCGGGCCTTTTGTTCACAGGGTCACTATGAGTCGTGTTCATCTCAACGACAATCAACATCAGAGACTCACAGCTCAGGAAACCTGGGGGGGGTCATTCCACCTGCCCAGTGGGGCTGTGAGTCAGAATCCGTGCAGAGCAGTGGGTAATGGGTGTACTGGACAGCTCATTCCAGAAACTCAGATGACTGTGAGATAAACAGACGAAGCCCACATGGCTGCATGCCAACTTCGGGTCCGGCAGCCAGGGACCCAGGATACAGCACAGGAGAGAAGAGGGGCACTGCCCAGCACCCACACCCCAGACCCAGCACAGGGGAAGAGGCATCACCCAGCACCCACACCTCAGACCCAGGACACAGCATAGAGGAGACAAAGCATTGCCCAGCACCCACACCCCAGACGCAGCACAGGGGAACAGGCATCACCCAGCACCCACACTGCAGACCCAGAACGCAGCACAGGGGAGAAGGGCCTTACCCAGCAGCCCGTAGTGCAGGTGGCAGAGCCAGTCGGCCGGTAGCGCCCGGTCCTGGAGCTTCTGAACGAGGGTGCGGGCCGTGTCTGGGGGCTCTCCGGTGCCTGTGGTGGAGACCACCACCACAAGAGGGGCCGTTTCGGTTTTGAGATCATACTGCAAACATCAGGGAAAGCAGAGGGTCAGCCCTTCCGTGAGACGGACTTAGCCAACGGCCGCACAACAGGCTCAAACAGGGCAGAGGGTGAGGATCCGGTCACGGCTCTGTCCTCCACGTGAGGTCTCAGAGTCCACGACAAGCACGGGCCACACACACACAAGGACACCATTCCAGCTGCTGACCACGCCGTGTCCACAGCGCCTCACTGCAGGGGTGACCACGCCTGTTAACACCCGCAAGGTGACCACAGCGGCTCCCCCGCCCCGTCCCTCCTTCCCCGAGGCACACCCCCACACCAGCCAGTGCTGCCCCACCCCCATGAAGCTGTCAGCGCAGGACACTGGCCAGAGAACAGCCCCCGAGCACCCACCCCACCTGCCTCCCTCCCTCCACGGGCGTCAGCTGAGCAGCACAGGTGTCCGGCACGGCCCAGCCGGGGGGACAGGACTGACAAACGTGTCCTGGAGGAGTCACACGCAGGGCGGCTAACAGGAAGGTCAGCAGTTAGAACCCGCGACTCTGGGAGAAGCAGGCACTTTCCTCCTGAAGTCACAGCCTCGGAAACGCGGTGAGGGTCCCGCGAGGTGGAGCTGACCCCACGCTGGGAGACTGCTTGGACGGTGAGAATTTAAATGTCTGCCACTGAGCGCAAATATCACCATGAACGTGACCTGCCAGCCCACCTACAGAGCCATCACACAAGCCAGCCTCCGGTGCACCCACGCTGAAGGCAGCAAGGGGTGCCTGGAGTGTCAGCGTGGGGACCTCCCGGGGAGCCAGCATGGGGACCATCGGGGGCATCAGTGTGGCGACCATTGGGGAACTAGTGTGGGGACCATTGGGGCATCAGCATGGGGACCTCCTGGGGTGTCAGCATGGGGACCTCCCAGGGAGCCAGCGTGGTGACCTCCTGGGGTGTCAGCGTGGGGACCTCCTGGGGTGTCAGCATGGGGACCTCCCAGGGAGCCAGCGTGGTGACCTCCTGGGGTGTCAGCGTGGGGACCTCCCGGCGTGCCAGAGTGGGGAATGTCGGGGCACCGGCTGGGGAGGGGCGCCAGCATAGGGAAGGGCACCAGTGAGCGGATTGCCAGGGGGCCCACAAGGTGAGGGGCACCAGAGTGGGGTCGCCCACCAAACAGAAGCCCAGCTAAGAAATATACCACCACTATGCACAGTGAGGAACTGCGGAAGGAGACAAACTGAGAGGAGGGGGAATGTCTATCCAAAGAAGAAAGAGAGCACACATGAACACTGCTGATCACCAGGGGGGAAATGTGAAACAGCACCGCAAACATCTGAGCAATCGATATACAGATCCGTGCAGGTTGAACGAGTATCTGAAACTGCTATCCTTAGCTAATCTCTAAACCTTCCACCAAAAACACCCATTCAAGTCCCAAAACCAAACACCCAGTTAACTGGCAATAATGGGACAATGAATGAGTGTCCGAGCGTGACACTCTCTCCGGACCTCTCTATGGTAGGGAAGTTAACAGCAGTACCCTGTGAGGCTAGGGAGAAACCTTAGGCAGCAGTGCATTTACACCAGTGGGGGGACACTTGGAGAAGAGGGAGACAATGTCTGCAGCAACGACACGGAATTACACAGGCAGAATCCAGGGGAGCACGTGACGTTCTGCTGTGTACGGACTCAAAGACAAAATGAGCCAGACACACTCGAATACTGGGATGAAAACGTCAGGACAAGGACAGAACAGTCCATAGAACGCAATGGAGCCAGAAGAATGCAGGGGAGTGGACACAAAGCAGGGGACCCAGGGGATGCAGGGGGTCCAGGGGAAGCAGGGGGCCCATGGGATGCAGGGGGCCCATGGGACGCAGGGGGCCTGGGGGACGCAGGGGGCCCGGGGGACGCAGGGGGCCCCGGGGACGCAGGGGGCCCCGGGGACGCAGGGGGCCTGGGGGATGCAGGGGACCTGGGGGATGCAGGGGGCCCGGGGGACGCAGGGGGCCCGGGGGATGCAGGGGGCCCATGGGACGCAGGGGGCCCGGGGGATGCAGGGGGCCCATGGGACGCAGGGGGCCCGGGGGATGCAGGGGGCCCATGGGACGCAGGGGGCCTGGGGGACGCAGGGGGCCCGGGGGATGCAGGGGGCCCCGGGGACGCAGGGGGTCCCAGGGACGCAGGGGGCCTGGGGGATGCAGGGGGCCCATGGGACGCAGGGGGCCTGGGGGACGCAGGGGGCCCGGGGGACGCAGGGGGCCCAGGGGATGCAGGGGGCCCGGGAGATGCAGGGGACCCGGAGATGGAGGAGGTCTGGGGGATGCAGAGGCCCGGGGGACGCAGGGGGCCCGGGGGACGCAGGGGGCCCGGGGAATGCAGAGGCCCAGGGGATGCAGGGGGCCCGGGGATGCAGGGGATCTGACATAACGCAGTGCTGCCCACAGGACGCAGAGAAGCCAGCAGAACCCAGTGGAGCCCAGAGCGTGCAGCAGAACTGACGGAACACTGAGGCAGGGAAATCAAGCACTGAACACGTCTGGAATCTTTACCAAAACTCAAGCCGGTGGCCTGGCCCATGTGTGGCATCAGTTCCGAGCTCGGAAACGAGAAGGGGTGTGCCTCATCTCTGCAGCGTGGCCCCTCGGAGCGCTTTGGACAGCACTAGCGGTAAAGGACTCTGCTGGTCTAGCCCCGTCTCTGGAGTCCCTTCCCCGACCTCGTTCTCTAATTCACACGTTTCTAAGGGAACGGGCCACTGCTTCCCTGAGAACAGAGCTCTCCTGCTCCAGGTGAGGCTCCAGGCAGTCTGTCTGTCCTTCGCGTTGACACTGCTGACCCTGACCATACACTGTGCTGACAGAACTCCCCACACACTGCACTGGATTCACCCCAGCACTGGAGTCACCGTGGGCTGGGGAGCACTCTGTGTAGACAACTGGAGGACGCCCCAGGCCCCGAGCGGCACAGCACACGATGGAGCCCTAAACGCTCGCCTGTCACTCAGGACTGAGTCACTCCTCGGGTGAGGTTAACGCGAGTCCTGCAGCAGAGGGAGGGCGCTGGCAGGATCACCTCTGGTCAGCACGTCGTTTTTCCCGGGGTGTGAACTGGCGGGAGCGGTGGGAATCTTCTCTAAAGGGGAAGGGAGACCCCTCTGTCACAGGAAGAACTCTCACGGGGCGTGGAGGGGACGCACAGGAGCCCTGACCTCACCGAGTGGGCTCCACTTCCAAAGAGAAAGCAGGCGGTCCTTTCTCTCAGGGCGACAGGAACGGTGCCGGTGACCACCAGGTGAAGTATGTACGCATGCAACACACACACAGCCAGCACAGCGGTCACGAGGCGCCCGTATATACACGTGCACACACCCACCCTCCGTAGTACACCACAGAGCCTGACACACCTCGCCTGCTCTCAGTCACCCCACGACGCAGGGCACGCACACATACACACAGGTATATACACACACAGGTACCTACAGGTACACACACCCCATGCACTGCACAGTCCTGGTACACCCTCACCTGCTCACAGCCACCCCGTGACACAAGGGGCACATACACAGGGGTATACAAGCACACAAACATACATACAGGTATATACAGGCACACATACACACACACACATAGGTATATACAGGTGCACACTCACCAGTGCACTGTGGAGTCCTGGGGCACCCTCACCTGCTCTCAGTCACCCCATGACACAGGGCATGCACACACGCACATACACAGGCGTATGTACAGGTGCACACACCCTGTGAACACCCCATGAGTCCTAGTACACCGTCACCTGCTCACAGCCTCCCCATGAGATATAGCGCACGTGCACACACACTCACACTCACACTTTCCACGAACTAAGAGGAAACCAAGCATCAGCCCTCAGTTCCGTTTTCCAGGCCTCATCTCATCTCCATACACGACTTGAGGCCATCAGCCGGCAGGAGTCTCCCGTTCCAGAGGGACCAGCACATGGGGACTAGTTCAAGCAAAGCGCCGTGGGGGCTGCAGGCTCACCGGCTGGCCCTGGGCCCCCTCACGTCACCACGTCACCCACAGACCGGAGAAGACAGCCGGTTCCCACCTTGTCCAACTCGCTCATGCAGTGCATGTCCGCGGAGAAGCCCCGGGCGGCCGCCTGCTCCCTTATCTCCTCCGCGATGGCCTTCGCCTGCCCCTGCTGTGTCGCGTACAGCAACAGGAACCTCCTCGTCCCGCTGAGGCACATGCTGAGGCTGGGACAGGTCTGCTGGAAACACAGAAGGGGCAGGGTCCCCTTAGGATGAGGCAGTGACAGTCTGCAGGGACGAGGGGCCCTCAGTCATTAACAAGGGGCCCAGGGGTCCAGAGTGCGGGAGGCACGGGGCTTAAAGCACCAGACGCCAGGCAAAGCCTTAGTGGTTTAAGCCTGCCGTGGTCAGGGGGGAAGAGCTGGAGCCCTGCTCCTGTGCCTGAGCTCTGGGAAGACGGTGTGGGAACACCAGAGGCAGACCCATCTAAGGACACACAGCTTTACAGGGTGCCAGGGGTCAGCACTCGGCTGCCACTCCAAAGGCAGGCGGCCAGAATCGGCCACCAGACTGACGTGGAAGGAAGACCAGGTGGCCTGCTCGCAACGTCCCAGCCCCGAAAGCCCTGTGGAGCACGTCAACTGAGACACCCCGGTCATGGGGGTGAGGACGGAGACACGGGGGTCACAGGGGGTGAGGACGGAGACACGGGGGTCACAGGGGGTGAGGACGGAGACACGGGGTCACGGGGGGGGTGAGGATGGAGACACGGGGTTTATGGGGGTGAGGACTGAGACACAGGGGTCATGGAGGGTGAGGATTGAGACACAGGGGTCATGGGGGTGAGGACTGAGCTGAGATACAGGGGTCACAGGGGTGAGGAGGGAGACACAGGGGTCACGGGGGATGAGGACTGAGACATGGGAGTCAGGGGGGGTGAGGACTGAGACTTGGGGGTCACGGGCAGTGAGAATGGAATGAGCACCACCTGACTGCACGTTTCAGAATCCACACCAAGCCTGCTGACTCCGACCCACAGTGACCGTGTGGACAGAAGAACTCCCCCACAGGGCTTCCAAGGCGGCTGATCTTTGCAGAATCAGACTGCCTCACCTCCCGTGGACACAGCAGCCCACGGATTCAAACCGCCCATCTTTCAACCAGCAGCTCGGCACTCAGACACACACGATGGCTCCTTATGGTAGAAAGGCTTGTGCTAAATTCATTTCTTAGTAGGAAAGCTGTGGTCTGGTGGCCCAGTGCTCTGACAGGCCGCCCAGTGCTCTGACCCGCAGCCCCTCTTCCAGCTGCCAATGGTACAGAGCTGTCCATCTTACTCCTGTGGGGCAGTCGGTGGATTTGAACTGTGAGAGAGGCCACCTTAGGATCATGGTGCAGCACCCTCGGGACGTTGCCACCAGCCCTGGCAGCCCTGGGTCTGGGGGAGGACCGGAGAGTAATCTCCGAGGTTCACGATCCACCCACCTGAGTCAGTCTGTCCTTCACAGCGGGGCCTTTGGGCAGGCTAGTATCTCCCCACAGCTCAGCTGTCTTGTGCTTAAAATAGAGGCAGGAATGCCGACCCAGCAAATGACACAGGCCGGGCAAAGCACCGAGAAACAACACTACAAAGCCCCGTTCCTCTCACATGCCTGTCTGACTGGGGTGAGGGGGTGATGTCTCACCTGCCCGCCCGCGGGGCTCACTTGCTCGCCTGGGGTCTCATTTGCCGTCCTAGGGTCTCACCTGCCCTCCCTCGGCTCTCACCTGCCCGCCCTGGGGTCTCACCTGCCCGCCGTCGGATCTCACCTGCCCGCCGTCGGATCTCACCTGCCCGCCGTCGGATCTCACCTGCCCGCCGTCGGATCTCACCTGCCCGCCGTCGGATCTCACCTGCCCGCCGTCGGATCTCACCTGCCCGCCGTCGGATCTCACCTGCCCGACAAAAACCCCATTCATGCGTCCCGGGGCCAGAAATGCCAGGCAAGTGGCTGCCTTCCGCGGGGCGCATGCTCAGTCCGCGGACCAATAGAAAGCTCGATCAGGACACGGAAGAGGCTGCAGCCAATCACAATAGTCCGGGCGTGGGGCGGGGCCCAGGCCGGTCTCTGCGCGCGCAGCTCGCTATGACGTCACTCGCGGCGGGTCCGAGAGCCGCCCTGGGCTGAGCTGTGGTGTGAGGGTCCTGGTCCTGTCACTTCTCCGGATCCTGTCACTTCTCCTCGGACACGTCTCCCGGGCTGCACGGCGTGAGGGCTCTGGTCATCGGGCGGGGTCCCTTCTCCTCGGATCGCGCCTCCCCGGGCGCCGTCGGGCTGCAGGTGTGTCCTGGGATCCCCTCGTCCCAACAACACTGGGATCCAGTCATCCCAGGATGCGCAGTGTGGGGTGCTGAATGTGGGGTCCCAGGCTCCGTGGTCTCGGGGCGCCGATTGTGGGGTCCGCCTCCCCCAGGAACCGCAGCGGGGTCCTGTCGTCCCAGGCTCCGTGGTCTCGGGCGCCGATTGGGGTCCCAGGCTCCGTGGTCTTGGGCGCCGATTGTGGGGTCCGCCTCCTCCAGGAAGCGCAGCGGGGGTCCCTTCGTCCCAGGTGGGGTCCGCCTCCCCCAGGAACCGCAGCGGGGGTCCTGTCGTCCCAGGTTCTGTGGCTTTGGGGCTCCGATTGTGGGGTCCCAGGCTCCGTGGTCTCGGGGCGCCGATTTTGGGGTCCGCCACCTCCAAGAACCGCAGCGGGGTCCTGTCGTCCCAGGCTCCGTGGTCTTGGGCGCCGATTGTGGGGTCCGCCTCCCCCAGGAACCGCAGCGGGGGTCCTGTCGTCCCAGGTTCTATGGTTTTGGGGCTCCGATGGTGGCGTCCCAGGCTCCGTAGTCTCGGGGCGCCGATTGTGGGGTCCGCCACCTCCAAGAACCGCAACGGGGGTCCCTTCGTCCCGGGGGCCCTGCTGTGGGGCCTCGGAGACTGGAGTGTGGTGATCTGGGGTGGGGGTCCACTGGTCTCAGAGGCTCTGGTGTGTGTGGGACCCCTCAAGGGCTGCATTGTGGGGGGCTCACGATGAGGGTCAGCCTAGGCTGGGTTCTGGCCTGCCCACCCTGCTTCCTGCTCGCGGCGTCACTGTTTTGCCTTGTTGGGGTCCGACCCTCCCTTCCTGGGGACATCAGCCCCTGGAGCTGGAGAGCGAGCTTGCAGCTGCCCTGCCTGTAACCCTGACCTGGGGCCGCAGAGTCACCCCAGGGCAGTGCCTGCCTTCAGCCATGGCTTAGGGGTGTGGGCAGGAGGGCAGGTGCAGAGGTGAAGCCCCAGCTTCTGACTGCAAGGGCCCCACACCAGCCACTTGACTGGAGAAAACTGGACCGTGTATTTCCATAAAGATTGTTGTTCTTAGGTGCCATGTACTGTAACAGACCGCGACCTTACGAGCCCCAGGTCTGAACCCTTGCCCTGTCCTGAGCCAGCCTTACAACGATCTCTGCCAGGAGCGAGCCCATTGTCACAGTCAATAGCTTTTGTCCCATCGCCTGGAGCGTCTTCCTTTCTTTTGGGTTGTTTTTTTCTTTATCCTGATTTATTTACAAAGTTTTAATACGTTGTTTTTCACAGAAGATTCTTCCCATTTCCTTCTCCCCACCCACCCATTGAACTGTGCAGTCCCGTGATTAACACCCTCCCCACCCATCCTCACCCCTCTATTCCCAACTCACCTCCACCCCCGACCTGGGATCCTCATACTCTTTGTACAATAATGGTTTTATACAGTATTTGTCCTTGTGGGACTGAGTTAGTTCACTCAGCATAATGCTCTACAGCCCCTTCCAAGTTAGGTAAAAATTTACAAAGTCATTTCTGCTGCGTAGCGTTCCATTGTATGGATGTACCACAGCTTCTCAGCCCTCTTGTTTGTGGTTGGACATCCGGGCAGTTTCCATGTCCTTGCCATGGTGAATAATGCTGCCGTGAGCACTGGTGTGTAGTCTTCCTCTTTCTCGCCCTCCTTCTGCCTTCCCCGGCATGTCTTTCTCCAAGGACTCGTTCCTCCTGAAAATATGTTGAAAGGAAGTGAGACGAAGACCATATCGAATGAAGAACAAGCAAACCAGCCAGTGTTCCTTCTTGTTGTGGTTGTTGTTGTTAGATGCCATCCAGTCAGAACTGACCAAGAGCTCACCTTCCAGCAGGTTTTCAGAGGCAGTGAATCACGGAGGAGAGTGCTCCTTGGAGACAAGAATCATAAAACATCTCACCAACCTAGTCTTTCCATAAAGATTAGAACCTTGGAAGCCCACGGGCAGTTCTCTGTCGCGTGAGATGGGATCAAGTAGCCAGCAGATTTTGCTGACGAAGAGATGCATGACCTGAGTTTTGAGGTTGGCTCCCAGGACAGCACCCAGCTGGGTCAGCTGGGCAGGGTGACGTCTGTGCATCCCTCTCTCGCTAGAACTTCCCCTGAGGTTGGGAGGATTCGTGAAGATCCCTCCCTCACCCTGAAGGCTAGAACCACCCTTAGGTTGAGAGGATTCTTGAAGATCCCCAAGGCATGGCCTGCATCCCTCCCTCACCCTAGAGGCTAGAACAACATAGTTCCCTGGGATTGGGAGGATTCCCAGTGGAATATCCCTGAGACACAGCTGGCTTGCACTTGCCTTCTTAGTACCGCTCATTTGGAATTGATTCATAACTGCTGCTTTCAGAAACCCAGTGGAGGGTCAGAAAGGAGTTGGTCCCAGCTCCACAGCAGTGAGAGAGAAGGAGAGACCTCTGTTTGCAGCCCAGAGCTTAATCCTCTGTCCTCCCAGACTTCGCATTCGCAGCCACAAACGTAGCTGATGTTCCACGACTGTCAATGGTGACCCACCATGCCTGTCCGTTTCAGAGACTAAATCTTGAAGGGAAGATACTGCCCATCTTCTGCAGAGCGGTTTGTGAACTTGAACTTCTGCCCCTTCGGCTGGTTGTCCAGTGTGTTCTTCACGGCTTCCTGCCTTTGGTCCTTCACTGACTTCATGCCTTTCATCCTCCAGTCAGAGCTGTTCTTCCGTTTGGTTTCCGCTGTGAGAGGAAACTGCCCATCTTTCTCTTCAGCACTCAGCAAGTGAGGGCTGTGGTTGTGCTTAGATGTTCTACGTGCTGGAGCAAAGACCCTGCTCTTGGTGTAGTTCCCATTGGTCACTTGTGTGTGAGTGTGTGTGTTTGCTGAAAAAGGGTTGCTGCTGCTGTTATATGCTGTCACGTCGCCTGCGACTCATAGTGACCCTGTGTACAACAGCCCTAAACCCTGCTCTGTCCTGAGCCAGCCTGAGTGTCTCAGACACACCTACCCCATTACCCCAGACACTGAGTCAATCCAGCTTATCGAGGGTCTTCCTCTTCTGTGCTGTCCCTCCACCCTCCTAAGCATGACTCTCCAAGGACCGGTCCCTCCTTGAAACATGCCCAGAGTATGTCAGATGAAGCTTCAGAATCCTTGCCTCCAAGGAGCAGCCTGCTTTCACCCTCTCCAGGATGAGCCTGTCTGTTCTGGCAGTCCATGGTGTATTCAGCACTCTTCTCCAGCCCCACAGCTCAGAGGACGGATTACGAAGCATTAATGTGGGTACTCGCATTGAGTGGGTCACGTCGTCTGTGTATCTGACCGCCTTTCTCTTCTTTAACTTCACTAGACACCAGGAGGCGTCAGGAGCCTGATGACATGGCCTCGGCGGCCCTGCGGAGGAAGCTGTGTGATTTTCGGTTCTGTGGGGCCCTGGCCACCCTGAAGGGTCAGTCAGTGAGTCATGTCCACACAGCAGTCACGAGCCATCCTTGCTGGGGGATCTTCCAGCAGAGGCCCTCCAGGGCCAGCTACTCCCGCACCTGTTATCTCAGCTTCCTCTCTGAGCCCAGGAGCAAGCTGCAGCCTGAGGACCAGCCAGTGTTTCCTCCAGTGCCTGAACAGGGCAGGACGCAGCCTAACCCCAGCCCAGTGGACGGGCAGAGGGTCCCCGGCAGGCTAGCTACTGTCACCCGCTGGACGGAAGCCTTGCACCTCTTGAACACGGAGGAGACACAGCCCGATGCTGGGGCAACAGGAGCCGTGCCCCCACTCTGGGAAGTGAGAAGGATGGATGCCCATGAAGGGCGGTCGCAGGATGTCCCCACGGCTTCCTGCCCTGAGTTTGAACGGGACCCTGGGGAGGTGACAGATGCTGGCCTGGTGGCTCTGTTGCAGGCCCTGGCTGTGTCACACGTGGCCCCTCCAAGCAGCGTGTTAGACGCGCTGGTGGCAGAGTGCCAGAAGCGGGTGCAGACGGGCAGCCTGAGTGTCCAGCAGCTCTGTGCACTCGGAGGAAGTCTGATTGCACTTCTGGGGCCCGGCTGCGTAGCACTGGACCTGGTCATCGCTCAGCTGCAGGGTGTGGCTCCCGAGGCGCTGTCCGCCGAGGATGTTGTGGCCATTTATCGCATGCTCCAGGCGTGCCCCGGCCAGGTGGACCAGCACCAGGCGCTGCTGACCAAGTTACACTGTGTCACCCTGGCCCTGGTCTCCGGCCTGAGCCCCACGGCCATCAGCCAGGTGCTCAGTGCCCTGGTGACCCTGGACCAGACCCAGGCGCTGCCCCTGGTGCTGAAGCTGAGCAGATACGCCGTGCGGCACATCCCACGCTTCTCCAGCCAGGCGCTGGGCTGCGTCCTGGAGGCCTTTATCCACTTCGGGCTCAACGACAGGTTCTTCACCGCGGGGCTGGAGCGGCACGTGCAGGCCCAGGGGCTCACGCTGAGTCCCGAGGCGGCCAGCCACATCGCCAGCTACTGCGGCCAGAAGCTGATCCTGTCGGCGCCCATCCTCGACGTGGTGGCCGAGAGCTTCGTCGCCCAGCCCGGGCCCTTCTCCCCGGAGCAGCTGGTCAGGCTGGTGGAACCGTTCGGCACGCTCGGCTACCTGCCGCCCAACGCCCCCGCCTTCTTCGCCAAGCTGGAGAGGAGTCTGTCTGCCCATCTCAGGGACTTCCCCCCCAAGGCACTGCTGAGACTCCTCCACGCCTGTTCACTGCTCGGCCGTCACCCCATAAACTTCATGCCGAAGATCTTCAGCCCCTACTTCCTTCAGCAGCTGCAGGGTGAGTGAGGGTGGGGGGCTGGGGAAAGAGGCCAGCGCGGCCAGATATGCCACCCGCACCAGTGTGCCGATCGCCTGGAGATCGCGGGGGTGGGGGTCCCACATGACCACTGCTACAGGCAGGAGGGAAGAGAACGGGGGGCACTGCTGTAGTCCGTAGGGGTTTCACTGCTGACCCTAAGACTTGGCCTCTGGTAGTTCAAATCCTCCGGTGACTCAGCCTGAGAGAGACGGGCAGTCTCCTCCCATGTGGTGGACAGTCGGAGTGGGTTGGCTCGCTCTCAGCAGCAGAGTGGCGCTCTGGTGGCCTCGTGCTAAGGAGCTGCGCTGCCTGCCTAAAGGCTCACGGTTCGAGTCCACCAGCTGCTCTGCAGGAGAAAGACGGGCAGCCCTGCCCTGTGAAATTCACTGCTTCTGAAAAGCCGCTGGTTCGTTCTGACTTGATGGCGAACAGCCACCACAGCACTGGGTGAATTGGGGGGTTTTCTCTTTCACTGGCCTTGGTGGACAGAAAGCCGCCCTGACGGAGATTCAGGGCCTCTTTGAGGCAGTGCTGGTGCTGGGCGTGCCCACGGTCCCCTGTCGGTGTCTGCCGAGAGCCAGTGTAGCGTACATTTGTGAGAGTGGTCCCATCCTCAGGCAAGCCGCCCAGGCTGTCAGATCCTGGAAAAGGACGTTTCCCCTGAGTCCACGTGCACTTCCATGTCTGTAATCACATCCTAGAGTGAGCTTTCATTGGGGGCACCTGCTGCTGGGGCTGGACAGCTGGAAACCCTGCCCTCTCCTGTGCGAGCCTTACAGTCACTGCTGTGCGGAAGCCGCTGTCACAGACCCTGTCAGTCCGTGTCCCTCGGGGCCCCTCTCCCTCACTGACCTCATCATCACAGACCCTGTCAGTCCGTGTCCCTCGGGGCCCCTCTCCCTCACTGACCTCATCATCACAGACCCTGTCAGTCCATGTCCTCAGGGCCCCTCTGTCTGACTGACCTCATCATCACAGACCCTGTCAGTCCCTGTCCCTCAGAGCCCCCTGTGCCTCTCTGATTCTACCTGAGGCTGGCGACTTGCTGGTAGAGCTTGTCCGAGCAGTCTGTGTCCTGGTGCCATCTAAAAGCCCGTCCCTTCTGCAGTGGATGAATCCAGGATGTGTGTACCAGTCTCTCTTATCACCTGTGCCCAGTGTCGTCCTGGCCCATGACCGGCTGTTTCTTTTCAGGTGAAGAGCCCCAACTGGACAGGGTAAGCCTGGCCCAGCTGACCCAGCTCTTCCTGAGCTCCATCCTGGAGTGCCCCTTCTATAAGGTAAGAAACAGACCACACGCTGTTTTCTCTGCCTCCTGAAATCCGTTCCGTTCCCTCTCTCGTGACCTGGCTCAGTCACATCCGTGAAGAGCCACCCTCTCACCTGCTCTGTGATGCCCACTGCCGTCACTGGGTTCCGATCAGAGTTCCCTCATGGTCTCAAAGGATCATAGCCTTCACCTTCGCAGAAGCAGCCCGCCCGCCTGTGTCTGCCCAGCGGCCCTCTGCTGGGTGGGTGCAGATTGCTGGCATTTCTGTGAACAGCCACGCGGTTTAACCACAGTGCCTTCAGTGCCCCTGTCCTCGATGGGCCGGCCCGTCTGTTCTCCAGCGCCCCTGTCCTCCAGGGGCCAGCCCGTCGGTGTCTCCTGCTCTGCAACGTGTCTTCAGGTTTTGTCAGATGTTAGAGGCACAGGACACAAGAGTCTTAGCATTTCTTAGCGTTTCTAGATTCACTCTCCAGGTCTCAGGGATTTTAGCATATCATCATCCTTGTTGTTATTGTTAGGTGCTTCTAGTCGAGTACGACTTACAGTGACCTTATGAACAACAGCACTGAGCCCTGTTCTGTCCTGTCACACCCAAGCCCCTTGCAGCAGTCACTGTGTCAATCCACCTAGTTGAGGGTCTTCCTCTCTTCACCAACCCTCCATCCTTCCAAGCGTCATATCCAAGGAATAGCACCTCCTAGCAACAGGCCCAAAGTATGTGAAACAAAGCTTCCTCGTCTGTGCCCCCAAGGAGCACTCTGGCTTTGCTTCCTCCAAAACGGTTTGTTCTTTTGGCTGTCTGTGAGATATTGAGTACACTTCTCCAAACACCACAGCTCAAAGGCATCAATTCTTCTGTCATCCCAGTCCTTGTCCAGTTCTATGAAAGACAGAAGGTGATTGAGAAGACCATGGCCTGAATCAGACACACCTTAGTTTTCAAACTGACATCATTGCTCTACAGCATTTTGGAGAGATCCCTGACAGCAGACTTGTCCAATGCAGTACGCTTCCTGATTTCCTGACTTCTGGTACCAAGGATGTTGTTAGTCCAAACAATATAAAATCATTGACCACCTCAGTCCTTTCTCCATCAACCATAATGTTGACATTGGCCCGGTTGTGAGGACCTTTAAGATATAATCCATACCAAAGGCACTAGTCCTTAATCTTCTGCAGCAAATGTTTCTTACCCTCTTCACTTTCAGCAAGCAAGTTTGTGTCATCTGCATAACATAGGTGGTTGAATCTTCCTCCAACCCTGATGCCGCATTCTTCATAGTCTGACTGCAAATTATTTGCTTAGCATACAGATTGAATACATATGGAGAAAGGATACGACCCTGGTGCCTCCCTGCTTGATGTTAAAGTGCAGTGTCCCCCAGCTCTGTTCACACAGCAGCCTCCTGGCCGTCCTTCGGTGCTTTCAAATCTGTTCTAGTCATGCAGGGCCCAGCCCTGCACCATCCCAGTACTCACTGCCATGTGTGGTCCCTTCACTGCAGTATCTGTGTCAGACCATCTGGTTGAGGGTCTTCCTTTTTTTCCCCCTGGCCCTGTGCTTTGCCAGAGCCTGGCCCCTCTTTACCACATGCCCACAGTCTGTGAAGCAGGGCCCACCCTTGCTGGCTGTAGCAAGCACACTAGTTCTTCTCCCGATGCATGCTGTCTTCAGTGGGTCTCAGCACCACACAGCCCCTGGCAATGAAGCCTCTGAGAAGAAACCAGAAGCCCTGGGGTGAACACATCCTAAGTTATTTCTGGGCACATTCTCATCAGCCTCACAGTGCTGCATTTCTTTTCACTTCCTTGAGAGCTGTGCAGACTGGGTGTAGTCACTGCTGCCCACCCTGGTTATGGTCAGAGTGCTTCACCAGGCCTGCCCGCCCCTGCCCTGGTCTCCATACTATAAACTGTGGGTAAATCTCACACTTAATGATGCCTCTGGTCTTCGGAATGGGTTGACAGAGTGGAAAGACATCACTATTTTAAACAACTTGAGAATGCTAAGACTTAGGGTGACTCTGGCCAGTTTTGCCGTGTCTCCCTGCCCCAGACTCCGTGTTGTAATTGTATGGACACTGGACACTGTGGCAACTCTTGGAGGATGGCACTCCTCAGCTCGCTCAGCCTTTGTGCCCTGTGTGACTGGCATGCCTCTGGGCTGGCAGCACAAGTTCCAGAGTGGCAGCCCGTCCATACTCCCTGCTCTGCCATCCCAGGTACGTGGACACGGGTGTTCTCCAGGTCATCTCTGCCAGCATCACTGCCGTAATCAGCGTCACTCCCTTTTCAGGCTGGAGCCAGGTGCTCGCTTCCCAGGTGATGAGATTGCACTTGGAGCTTCGTGTTTCTGTCACTCTGTGCAGGCTTCCCTTGTCACTATGTCACTATGAGCAGACTCACGCTGTTCAGGCATCCCTCATTGCTGCTGGTAGGCTTCCCTCGGGCAGACTTCCCTTGTCACTACAGTCGGGCTTCTGCCGTCACTACAGTCAGGCTTCCCTCGTCACAATAGTCGGGCTTCTGCCGTCTCTACAGTCAGGCTTCCCTCGTCACTACAGTCAGGCTTCCCCCGTCTCTAAGTCAGGCTTCCCTCGTCTCTACAGTCAGGCTTCCCCCGTC